CTTCCCTTCCTTTCTTCCTTCCTCCTTCCTTCCCTTCTTTCCTTCCTTCCTTCTCTGTGTGTATATGTGCATGTGTGTGTATGTGTAGGGGGAGTTTGTGGGGGGTTGTGTGTGTATGTAGGGGGATTTGTATGTGTGTGTAGGGGGGATTTGTGGGAAGGTGAAGTTGTGTGTGTGGTCATGTGGACACGCACACCTGTGTTTTTCCATGTGTATGTGTGCATCTGCCTTCCTTAGCCACTCTCTACCTTATTTTTGAGAGGCCCTCAGTTGGGCTGGCTGCCCTGAGTGTGAGCTCCAGGGATCCTGAGTCTCTTCCTCGGCACCAGAGTTATGGCTGCTCAGGCTCGGGTCTTCATGCTTGCACAGCAGTACTTTACTGCCGGAGCCAGCTCCTCAGACCCCTCCTTTTCCTTTCCTTGGGGCTCCTCTCTGCAGAGCCTTCACCCTGCTCTGGAGTCACTGAGACATCGCCTTCACCGGCACCTTCAGCTGCCTGTATGTCGCCATCATCTATCCGACCTGATGTAGGGCCTTCCCCTTCTGTTGGCTTGTTCTGCTTATTGCTAGAAGAGAGTCTCAGCTCTCTGACTGTTCCACTATCTCATGGAAGGACATGACTTCCCCGTAGCTTTGCCCTTTTGTCCAGGGCTACATGTACAACAGAAGGCTCCCACTCAGAAAGCCACCCGCCCACTTCTGTTTTTGTTTGGCTCCACTTTGGTTCAAATTGTCTGGTATCCTGGCTCACTTTCAGTAAGAAAGAAAAAAAACAATTAAAAAAATGGTCTGCTGTTTCTTGAGTTGACACCTTACAACAGTAAACTCAAGAGTCTGTACTAAGCTTGTGGCTCAGATGTGAATACAGACACACTCCAAGCTACTGAGGATATCTGCTTAAGGAACTCTGCTTCCAAAAATGTGTTCTTGACATGTCAAAGTGTTATCAGCTTACCTCAGTGGGTAAAGTTGTCTGCATTTAAAAACCTGAAGGACTTTTGATCGGACACCCATGAAGATAATAGCTCCCTGGGATTAAGCCAATCACCCCAGGGGCTCAGCCCAAGAGAACAGCTGTTGGCTTTGCTCTTCTGGCCTTGCCTGGGTTTGTAAGCAGCATCCCCAAGGCCCTCAGGGCCAGTGGTAACCTCAGGAAGTTGATTGAAGCACTCTCGCCTCTCTCAAACTCCCCAAGGTCACCTGCCAGCGAGTCTCACAAGCAAGAGAAAATTCTGGGCCCTTCTAGCTGAAAGCATTCACTTAAAAGCAACCGTACGTCTTGTTAGAAGACGTTCCAAACCTGCAGCCCTTCAGGGAGGGCACAACATTGCATGCTCCTGTTTGGCACACACAGCGTTTGCTTATTTACTTATTTAACCCAGAACTGGATATTAGCCTAGGATCTCTATAGCCCAGGATCTCTGGGCTGTATCCTTAGCTCTTTTGTGATTTTTACTTTAAAAAGACTTACTGTTTTTTTACAATTTTAAACTCTGTGTGCATGTGTGTGAGTGTTTGCATGTAAGTGAAGGTACCATGAGAGCCGGTGACATCACATGCCCCTGGAACTGGAGGTCAAGGCAGTTGTAAGCTGCTCAGTGTAGGTGCAGGGAGCAGAACTCAGGACCTCTGTGAGAATGGTGTGCGCACGTAACCACTGAGCCACCCCTCCAGCCACTCCTTTACTTTTGAGGAAGGGTCTTGCTAAGCTTTCTAGGGTGGCCTTGAACTTGGGGTACTCCTTCTTCAGCCTTCTAAGTACTTGGGGTTGCAGCCCTGGGCCACCAATCCTATAGCAATCAGTCTAAAAAAAAATTAACACGTTGCCAGCATTTGGTACTTAAAGTCAAAATTTAGATCTCTTGGAAACGGAAAGGCTGGTGTGCTGGGAGCAGCTGTCCTGGTGATGTCAGCCACAGCTGGGTGGGGCTGCTGCTTCAGCTGGGCCGTGAGCTCCAGGCTGGGGCAGCCCCACCACTCGCTGTCACAACTCAGACACCACTTCCCACCTGAAAGCACGCTTGAGCTGCTTGTTTTTCTTTCACTTGTTCCCTCCAGGCAAAAGCCCGGGCCTTTGGCCTTCGAGTTTGAGATGAGGGGTCTAAACCACCAGACCCTGGGCTAGGGGATGGCTCTGTTGATTTTAGAGTCTTGTTGCCCAAGTGTGATCCTTGGGTCCTCAGAACGCATGTGAAAAAGCTGAGAGTGTAGCATGCTCTTGTACTCTCAGCACTGGGGAGGAGGAGAAGTGCATATGGACCTGCACACGTGTGGACTTGCACATGTGTGTTCTTGTATTCACATGAACATGCACCACGCCATGACATACACACACACACCAAGACTGGGAAGAAGTAACAGGTATTGATTACACTCTGATTCACAGAGAGCCTGTACAAACCCGCCCTGTTGTACTTTCCTACCTGTTTGTGTTGTGAGATTTTATGTTCCTACTTGCTTTGCCTAGTCAAATGTGTGTGTGTGGCACATATATAAACATGTGTCATTCTGTGGGGACTGGCCTGTCTACGTGCCCCTGAGAGGGCTGCCCCCGGCTAGCTGTGGTCTCCAGTTGACTGGAAGGTCCTCGGACTTGGGTATGTCACCGTCCCTCGGCCGACACAGCTTCTGAGGGGCTTCGGACGTATACTCCCTAAGCTGGTGGGCTAATGAGGCGAGGGCCCTGGCCTGTAAGGACAGACTCTGAACAGGTTGTCGTGACTGGACTTGGTTGCAGATGGGCTCTTACTTCGGCTCCTCCTTGTGCGCAGTTGACCTGAACATGGACGGCCTCTCTGACCTGCTTGTGGGGGCCCCCATGTTTTCTGAGATCAGAGATGAGGGGCAGGTCACCGTCTACCTCAACAAAGGAAGTGTGAGTACACTATGGGGCAACAGGGAGGTGGGTGTTGGGGAGGGATACCCCATAGGGATGAGCATCCACTGGGCCCCGCTGGGAGTGAAGTGTGCTTGGGCCGTGCTACCCAGAGGAGATGAAGCCTTGGGTCCTGCATGGAAAGGGTTAATGATCCATTAGTGGACAAAAGTACACAGTGTGATGCTTCCAAGTGTGGGGCCCAGGGGCTTTAGGGTTTTCCTGCTCCCTATAAGTGATGTCAGTTCGATAGACACGTGGTAGTAAGGATCCATCGTTCAGAGGTTAACTCACTTGTCTCACAGCTCACAGCTAAAGCCTAGAGAGGCTGGATTTGAGCCTCAGCAAGTTGGCTTTCTCTCTAGGCTGCACCGCCTCTGAGAGTTTATATGATCTATTGGAGAGATGGATTGAGGTTGTCTGTGAGGAATCTTGAGGAAGGAGCAGGGATGGAGTGGAAAGGTCAATTGACCTGAGCCTGCGCTCCCAAGAGAAGGAGGCTCACTGCGGGTTGAGGGGTGAGGTGGTGGACCCTTACCTAGCTCAGCACAGAGCAGGGGATGAACTGGCCGAGGGCTGTCAACAATGTCCCTTACTCTGCAGAAACACTTTGGATTTCCCTCACCACACTCACAGGAAGAATTACAGAGCTGGCCATCTGAGCATGCTGGTGCGTGGATTTAACCATCCACAGATTGAACATGTGGGGACAAAAAAATCCACTGTGTCCTACTGAGCATGTTTAGATTTTCCTTGCCATTGTTCTCTAAATGAAGTAAATCCTATTTGCATATCATTTGCATTATATTAGACATTGTGAGATCTAGACATGGTTTAAGGCTAGGAGAGGGCACCCATAGTTTCTGTGCAAACACTGTACTATTTTATGTAAGGAATCGAATGCCTAAAGTTTTAGTATGATGGGGTATGATGGGGTCCTCCAATATTCCTAGACACCAAGGGACAGCAGTTTTTGTATTTTGAGGTGGGGGTTTCAAGAAATCAAATCATCATATCTTTATGTCACAACAAAAGGCAGCCCCTGTTGCGGTGGGCTCTGAGTGTACAGTAGCACCAGAATGCCTCCATACAAGGGAAGGTTTAAAGATTCTGAAGCTTGCAGACACCAGGGGTTCTAATGTCCTGGGATTTGTTTGTCAGCGATTCATGGGGACCATGGACATTCTTGGATGGTTTCTGCTGCCATACACAGTTATGCCAGCTCAGTGTTTGCCCAGGAATCTCTGAGCCACATATGATGTAGCCCTCACCCAGGGGTCCTGGGTATTGAACCTGGACCTCTGACAAGGTTACTAATGCCTGTTTTGTGCAAAACCTCAGACACTTGTAGGAAAGGGCACAAGAGAAGGGAAAAATAGAAAAATGGACACTTCTTTGGTTACCAGAATCTAAGGACCCTACCCTTCACCTCTCTACCAACAACCAGAGTTGGGAATTTAAGGAATAAATAGATTTATTCAAGGCCAGCCCTGAGGAAAAGACAGGAGAGGCTGTGATCTCAAGTTGACATTCTGGGTGGGAGGCTCAAGCGTGCACGGACACGGGTTTCATCAAGGCCCTGGACAGGACGCTGATGTGCTGGTGAGGCCGTTCCACCTGGAGCCCATCCCCTCTCCTCCAGAACTTGATCTAGGACCCTGGTCCTGGACCAGCACATGAATTTTCTTTATAGACGAATGCAGCTCATTTGCTCTGAAAGGAGGCCCTCAGAGACCCCCTCCTTATGATTTAGAAAACCCCAGGGTGGTCTAAAAGGAATTATGGAAGGGAGCAGAGATGGCAGTCTCTCTCTCTCTGTTGTACCTTAAAACGGTGCTGGACCAGATGTTGTGGCTCACGCCTTTAACCCTAGTATTCAAAAGGCAGAGGCAGGAGAATGCCTGAGTTTGAAGCCGGCCTGATCTACACAGAGACTAGCCAGAGCTACACCGTGGGACATTGCCTCAAAGAAAACAAAAACCAAGTTTGGAGAAGAGTTAGGCTGTACAGAAAGCTGAGAAGAAAGACAGTGTGGGGCTAAGGAGAGGGTAGGCTTGCCTGTCTGGACTTGGCCAGGTGGGGCTCAGCCATTGGTCCGCCTACCATTACCTTTCTTCTAAAATGTGTCTCGGGCTATTTTCAGACTCTCTCGTTGCGTAGGTGAAAGGCCGTATTTTGCTATGAGGAGAGATAGTTGGCTTCCTGTGGTTCTGCCAGCTGTTTCCTGTGCATGGTTGTACCCTAAGAGGGTGTCGTTCTGAGCTCTGAGTTTTCATTGTGCTTTTTGGCCCCCTTCTCTTTGTCCCCCCTCCATCCTGTTTCCCAGGGAGCCCTTGAGGAGCAGCTAACCCTGACTGGAGATGGCGCCTACAATGCCCACTTTGGGGAGAGCATCGCCAGCCTGGGGGATCTGGATGATGACGGGTTCCCAGGTGAGTGAGTCCTCTCTGGGGCACGGGGTCCCTCCAGGTGCTCGACATGCTGAGTTTGTGTCTGGCTCCTGTATTTCCTGTCTCAGCCCTGAAGGTACAGCAGTTCTCCTGGGTAGAAAGGGGCACTCTCAGAGAGGGGCGGGGCACCAGAATACGGCTTCTGCACAATCCATTCTCATCAGCTCCGCTCCTGCACTGTGTGTTTGTAGCGGCCTCTGGGGCTTGTCTTCGGGCTCCTGCCCATCATAGAATGTTTGACTCTGGGGTGGGAGGCTCAAGCATTCAAGGACACAGGTTTCAGCAAGACACTGGACAGGAAGTTGATGTGCTGGAGGGGCACCTGGGACTCTCTGTCCTGTTGTTGGGGAAATGAATAAGGAGAGAATAAGTATTTTCTCCCCCGAAAATGTCAGCCTAGTTGTGTATGTGTGTCAGAAGAATGGGTGGGTTTGTACCTACTGTCCATCTCTTCTTGGACAATGGTACCCTCATAGCCTTTTGGCTTCTCTCTGTGGTCTTTTGGCACCTCTTCCCCTCACTGTGTGTGGAGCACACAGACATTAGGAGCCGCTTCTGCAGGGCAGGGATGCGGCTCATTCTTAGGCCACACCCCTTCAATACGTCACATCATTGGCCACAGGTGGCTTCACTCAGTGAGAGGACTGTCATGGCGAGGTCACGGGAACACTCGCCCCTCACACTTGATCTCACTTTAACAGACATATGACTTATTAGAAGTCAGGGGAGGAGCGGAAGGAAGAGTCAGGCTTTGTTCCAGGAGCTGTCATTTGTGAGAATAATGTTGGTGTACATGTGGAATGAATGCCACTTTCACCATTTCCTTTACCTAAAATAAAGTTGACGTTCTCACTGACTGGAGAATGCTGACAGACGGGGGTTAGGATGGGTCATGTTCAGCTGTGGCTCTCTTATGGATCGCTCCAGGGTCCTTTTCTCTGAGGAGGAGAAGAGGCACTTTCTTGGGAGTAAACTGTTCTCATCCTTAGTAACTTTCCACGTCTTTAGTGTTCGGACACCATTTGCCTGATTCAGTGTTTGGATGGTGAATGGTGGAGAGGTTGTGAAATCAGGGAATGTAGACTTGATGACTGGAATGGAGAAGGCCACGCTGATATGACCCCACACGGCTGTTCTAACTCACGCTTTCCCCTCAGATGTGGCTGTCGGGGCACCTAAGGAGGATGGCTTTGCTGGTGCAGTCTATATCTACCATGGTGATGCCAATGGGATTGTGCCCCAGTACTCAATGGTAAGTGGTGGGAGGAGCCATGATGACTGTGTATGTGTATGTATGTGTTACGTATGTATGTGTGTTATGTATGTATGTGTGTTATGAATGTATGTATGTATGTGTTATGTATGTATGTATTTATGTGGTATGAATGTATTATAGAGGCTCCACTGAATGTATGTATGTATGTGTTATGTATGTATGTATGTATGTATGTATGTATGTATGTATGTGGTATGAATGTATTATAGAGGCTCCACTGAATGTATGTATGTATGTGTTATGTATGTATGTATGTATGTATGTATGTATGTATGTATGTATGTGGTATGAACGTATTATAGAGGCTCCACTGTGCACCGTGCTATGGGAATGAGGATGACAACACTTGGGCTTTCCTTTCACACTTTTCATTAGTGAAAGAGACAAGCAATTAATTAATACTGTTTTATTAAAACCAGAAAAAATTGTTAGACCCCCAAATTTACCCACATTTGAGGATACATCCTGCATACCTAAAAGAATATCTGTTTACCTTTCTTCAACTATTTTGTTATTTTTAATTGCATGTATATGTTGGGGGTGTGTGCACATGCGTGCAATGCCTACAGAGGTCAGAAGAGGGTGCTAGAGTCTGAACTGGAGTTACAGGTGGCCGTAAGCAGAAGCAGGTGCTGGGAACTGAACCCCAGTCCTCTGCGACTCCTAACTGCTGTTCTATCTCTCCAGCCCCAACATCAAAATCCTCATCTAGAATAAATAATAACTATTTATTTAAAAATATTTCTTTTAAATGCATTTATTTTACTGTGTGTGTATGTGTGTTTGTGATGTGTACACTCTCATGCATATGGAGGTCAGAGGACAGCTTGTGGGAGATGGTTTTGTTGCACCATGTGAGTTCCAGGGAACTCAGGGTGGTCAGGCTTTATGGCAAACCTGCTGAGCCACTTGCTGATACCCACAGCTATCTATTCAAAAAGAGAAAGCCAAGTGCAGTGGCGCACACCTGTGATCCCAGCCCTTGGAGGGGCAGAGGCAGGCGGATCTCTGTTCAAGGCCAACCTGGTCTACAAAGCAAGTCCAGGATAACCAAGGTTACAGAGAGATAACCTGTCTCAGGAGAGGGTGTGTGTGTGTGTGTGTGTGTGTGTGTGTGTGTGTGTGTGTGCAACTTCCTCTTTTTGTTGGCAGCTTTGGCAAACCACCTGTGTACTAAGCCAGTGGAATTAAATTTCTTTTTAATGTTTAACTGCTTTTGGACAGTGTCGTGTGCAGCTCAGTCTGCTCTCAAAGTTACTAGGTAGTTAAGGATGTCATTCATCTTCTGATTCTCCTACCTTCACCCTTAAATTGCTAGGATTACTGTGTGACACAGTACTCCATCTTATGTGGTGCTAGGAATTTAACAGGGCTTTGCTTATGCCAGGCAAACAGGCTACCAACTGAGCCTTGTCCCCAGGCCTCTGAGGAACACATTTTAAAATGTCAGCTAGAGACACAGGGACCCACAGAGGGCCTGAAAGTCATCATGGGCTGTTGTCAGACTTGGTATCAAAACCAAAGCTAATCAGAGCCCCGGTTTCACATCCCAGACTTGGAAACATGGAAGTGGCGAGCTCTTTATTTTTGCCTTGTAAGCATGGTGCTCACTCAGTCTTGCTGACGGTATCAAGCCCAGCCCATGGGAAACAAGGAAGTCAGGCTCTCAACAGAAGTTCGGTCAGGATATCTATGGGTGTGTGTAGAACGGTTTGTGTCTCTCCCCTATTGGGTCAGGGATAGAAAAGAACACACATCAAGACACCCTGTAGTCAGTCTGCAGTCAGTCTGTGGAGTGCTTGCTGAGCATGCCTGAGCTCCTGGGTTCCATCCTCAGCACCCCATAAACCATGCGTGGTGTCACACGCCTGAAATCCCAGCACTCAGAGTGCAGAAAGATCAGAAGCTTACGGTCATCCTCAGTGAGGCTATAAAACCCTTCACTAAGAAACAAAAACCTTTCAGACAGCAAATATTTGTAATTGAACACACTTGTGTGTTAATTACTTCCTGTTCACACCTGTACACATATAGATTTGTGTTTTTAGGGCTGAACTCTGTCCAGCCCAAGGTTTGTACTTTTTAAATTTAACTTTTTATTGATTCTTTGTAAATTGCACGACATGCACCCCAATCCCACTCACCTCCCTGTCCCTTCATGTCTACCCTCCACCCTTTCATCCTCCTCCACCAAAATAAAAAAAAAGAACCTTGTATAGAAGCTGCAGTGTGTCACAGTGTGTCCCACAGTGCACCCTTTTGCCCACACGTCTTTCAAGTGTTCACTGCAATGAGTCACTGGTCTGGTTTTGGCCTCTGGCTTCTGTTACATTATCAATACTGGATCCTCACAGATATCCTATTGTTGCCCTATTGTGTCATGGAGACTCTGCAGCTTTGGGTCTGCAGGACAGGCCTCTTCACATGCTCCAGGCGTTCATAGATGGAGATGTTAAGTGGGCCAACCCCAAACCCTAGATGTGGGCTTGGGTGGTATCTAATCTGGTCAGCCCACCAGCTCTCCTGCACCCACACCACCAGAGCGAGCTCTCCAGCACTGTCCTGGCTAGTTCACCCAATGCCAAAGCCTGGCAAGGGGGGAGGCCATCTCTCCCACTCTCCAGCTCTCATGCCTTCGGGACTGGCTCACCTGTAACCCCCATCGCCAGGGCTAGCTCTACTGTGGTGCCCAGGTGAGGGGCAGAGCTGCTCTCCCAGTGCTACAGCCATTGGGGGGTGGGGCCAGCTCTCCTGTTCTCAGGACCCCAGGGCCAGCTCTCCTGCCTGCAGTGAAGAGGGGCAAAGGGGTTAGGGCATCTCTCTCATGCCTATGCCAGTGCATGGCAGACAAGTGGTACTCACAACCTCAGGTTGGCTTACCCACAACCCCCACAACCAGCTCTAGTATGCTTCCTGGGCCAGGTGCCAAGTGCTCTGAAGTTCCGTTTTCCCAAGTGCTGTAGCTGGCAAGGGCCAGGGTCAGCTCTCCTGCTCTCCTGCCTTAGGGTCAGCTTCTCCACCTCAAGAGCAAGCTCTCCCATGATGCCTAGGTGAAGGGAGGGGCCAGCTCTGCATGGCCCCCAGGCAGCCCAAACCAGGGATGTCTGCCTGGCCTTTGGTGGTAATGGATCCCCACTGCTTCAGGGCCATGGACCCAGACATGGCCCTCACGGCAGCATGGGCCAGGACCTCTCCATGGCCTTAGGTGGCATCACCTGCTACTCACATCGGGTTGTTCCTCACTACCCTCAAGTCTCCAGTTCTGCCTCTCTCCGTCGTGCCCACATCTTTCCGCTTCTCTTTCTCTTCCATCTCTCCACCACTTACGTGTCCATCTTAATGGCGCCCAGGGCCTCGGGTGTGTGTGGTTGTCTCAGGAGTGTGATGCCCCACCCACGCAAAGTGGCACCAAGCAGGGATCATCTTGGCTCGCCCAGTCCACGTGAGCCAAGGTTTGTATTTGAAGAGGCACGCGTAACTAAGGGTGCGGTTTCTTTTCCTTTTATTATTAATTTATTTACTTGTGTGTGTCTACACGTGTGAATGTGTGTACACACGTGTGTGAGTGTGTGGTATGTGTTTGGACTATGTGCACGTGTGTGGTACACACAGAAGCCAGAGGAGGGTCAGGTGTCCCTGCTCTGCTTCTCTCCCTTGAGACAACTGCAGCTAGGCTGGTGTCCGTCGAGGCCCAGCCATTCTCCTGTCCCCACCCCAACACAGGCTCGTGAGGCACGCCTGGTGTTCTATGTGACTGCTGAGGCTCTTCATGTTCTGCAGTAAGTGCTCTCACTCACTGAACACAGCCCTGCAGACACAGCATCCACATTTATAACTGTTTGTGAAGCAACTGTGGGCGGGAAGTTGGGGGCTTGCTGCCTATGAGGCTGGCTCTCTCTGCATACCCCTTACCTCAGGGCTTGAAAGATACTTAGACACATGGTGAGGAGGAAGAGCCATCTCCAGAGAGCCTGTCATTTCTTTACCATGAATCCTCACAACGGCCGAATGAGACGGATACCCTTATCAGCCATTGTCTTTCTGTTGTGCCCCACAGAGGGTATTGACTCTGTCTGGAGTAGACACCTTTCTCAGCTACGTTTTGGAAAGAGGCCCAAGGAAGTCCCATGGGAAATGCACAGATACAGACTTGTGTTGCCCCAAAGTACATACACTTCGTAGGGCGTCCATCCACACAGACTGCTCTCTTGTCATTAGATACAAGTAGCCATGGAAACAACAAACTTTCGGTGATTCAGACAACTTCTCAGAGGCTTAAAACCCAGAGTGCGGCCTGCATGATCTCAGTCGGGGTTGCTGTGTCTCCCATGATGAGTTGAGAGTCATCTAAGGAACCCATCCTCAGGTGGGGGGTGGGGTAAGGGTCACTCCTCACACATCCTCCTGGCAGCTTGTGCCTGGACCTCAGAAGCTCACCACACAGAGGGGCCACCTGCAGGAGCCCCTGCCCCTCCGCCCTCTGGTGTGGCTCTCCAGTGTTTTGTTTGGTTGCTGGGTGGAATCCTTTCAGAAATCTGTAGTGCGCGTTTGTGGTTAGTGTGAAGCAGCTAGTAGGAAGCCGTGATTGGCAGCTGGAAACGGTGCCTTTGTCAGCACGCATGCTGGCTCGCTTAGCCGTCACAGAAAGAAGTGGTTTGGGGCTCTTTAAATAAAAGGGTGGAGAGAGAATGAGAAAGAGAGGAACAGCTATGATTATACTTTTCTAAGCTCTCTAATACGTATATGATAAGGCCAATGATTTAAAAGGTAAAAAAACAATCCATTAATGATAGGTTCTTCCGGGCCTGGATCCTGGACAGAGCGGGCATTGTGTGCAAGAACTGGAGGAAGAAATCAGAAACGAATCTAGGCAAGGAGATTGCTTTCCTTTGGCCCCAGCTAGTATTATTTCTGCTGGAGAAATTGTGAGATCAGAGCCTGGACTCCTCCCACATTACTCTGTAACTCCTGCCGTCTCCTTGAGCTCACAATGAAAAGTGTTGATTTTAAGATCCATAGATGCCTTTCTCAGCCCGAGAGCCCCCTGGGCATGTCGTCGCGGCCTCTGTGATCTCTCCCCGGCCCCAACAGACACAGCGTATAAACCTGGTCAAACGGAGGTTTCCCACAGTTCCTGGTTTCCATTTAGAGTTATTAGCACCGTGTAGACTTATCTTCCCGGCTTCAGAGCATAATGGCCTGCAGATGTCAGCGGCCTGCATCACCACCCGCCAAATGGACCACCCCTTACTCTCCCTGAGGCCCAGCCACAGTATACCCGAGAAACAAGAACCCACAGCAAGCTGCTTCTCAAGCTCTAGGCCTCCAGAGCCGAGAGGAGCAGTGTCGAGGTGCGCCTTTTACCCAGATCCACACACACGTTGGTTTAGACAGAGCCGAGCGGGAATCTGTGGCCGAGCCTGCTGACAGGCAGTTTCTGCAGCTCTGAGCCACCCTTTGATGTGCACACATTTCCCGTTGGTTGCCCTAACAAAAGATGGCAAGCAGCCCTCTTGGATCATCGCTGGGACGGGTCCTTCTAGTTATCAGCTGCCGAGGGCGGGGACATCCTATTTCCCTCAGTGGAGCCCGTGGACGCTTCGGCTCCACCGGGGCTTCCCCACTATATGCTGGGGTAGAGACAAGCATGAAGAAAGAGAGGCAGAGCGTGCCCCCGAATGTCTGTGAGCTTGGTTCTGTTGTGCACGTCACTCCGTGATGTGAAGTAAAGCATGCTCTTGTCATCCATGAAGAGACGGGTATAGTTTCAGGTATCAACTTGATACAGACCTAGAGTCCTGTGGGAAGAGGGACTTGGCTGAAGAATTACCTCCATCAGCTTAGCCTACCGGCATATTGGCATGTGTTTTCTATGTTGCTGTTACTGTAGGAGAGCTCAGCCCGCTGTGGTGGTGCCATCCCTCATCAGAGGGCCTCGTCTGTATTAGGAAGCTAGCCGAGCAAGCCAGAGGGAGCAAACCAGTAAGCAGTGACCCTCGTGGTTCCTGCTTCAAGCTCTTGCCTCGAGGGCCTGCCTCGATTTCCCTCCATGATGGACTGTAACCTGTAAATAGAAAACCAAAGCAAAAATAAAAACTCTTTCCTCCCCAGGTTGCTTTTGGTCAGTGTTTTTATCACAGCCACAAAGAAAGAGCTGATGAGGACACTGCAGGTGGGAGAAAGTGGGAACTGATCTGATCTCAGAAAGTGAGACTTTCTGGCTCAAGACGGCTGGCCCCTGTGAAAGGAACCGTGCTGTACAAATGTGAAGGGGTAGCTTTGAGGGCCCAGGGCTGGCTGTGTGGCAACCATCCTTTTGTCGGCATATCTTTTTGTTTTTAATTATGCTCTGTGTGTGTGTGTGTGTGTGTGTGTGTGCATGTGCAGTGAATGCAGAGACTGAGGAGGCAGAAGAGGGTGTCGGATCACCTAGAACTGGAGTTACAGATAGTTGCCTCCAAATGTGGGCCCTGGAGACCAAACTTGGAGCCTCTGCAGAAGCGGTGTGCTCTAACCATTGGCCAACCTCTCCAGTCCTGTGTTCTTTTTTTTCAAATGTGTATGTGCATGTGGACCTATGTGTATGAAGCTAGACGACAATTTCAGGTGTCATTCCCAGCAACACTCTCCACAGCGTTTGTCTCAGGGTCTCACAGACCCCGGTTAAGGAAGACCTGAAGTCTAGCCAGTGACTAGTCAGAGACACCCCTGTCCCTGGCTCCCCAGCACTGGCTTTGCAAGCACATTCAGCCATATCTGGCTCTTTATGTAGATGCTGGAGCCAGCTCTCAAGTCAAATGCTTTACCAGGTTTCCCAGACCTACAAATATTCTTGCGTGAGGCCATCTGTTGTGATGACGTTAGCGGTGTGTAAAATGTGGCATGCTAGTGGAGTCGTGAGTGTGGAATGCCTTTCAGGAGACACGGCAGATCTCCTCCCTGGGTTTTTTAGGAGGCTCAGCACCCTGCAGTTTTAAACTTACTAGGTCAACCTATGAAGCTCAGAGTCTATAGACCTCCCAATTCGAGGGATGGAGGGGAAGTTCCACACGGCTGTCTTTCCAGCTGGGTGTGTTAGTGGCCTGTCCATCGTAGGAGAGGCAGGTGAAATAGTTAGTACCTAATAGACATTTAGTTGGCAACAAACCCAGGCAAAGTTTTAAATGATGACATCTGGCCAAGGCAAGCAATAATAAGGAGGTGTGCGATCTTCAAGTACCTGCCACAGACCCTCTGGCCAAATTCTACCAGCATTTTCTTCTCTTCCAACAACTTCAGACCTGGTGCCCTGAGGAACCTGAGTTTGAACAGTCCCAGTTCTCACTTGTCCTCCCGTGCCTCTGGTTTTCTGTTGTCTCTTTCAGAAACTGTCTGGGAGGAAGATAAATCCGACCCTGCAGATGTTCGGGCAGTCCATATCAGGGGGCATTGATATGGATGGAAATGGCTATCCTGGTGAGTGTTTTCCTCAAAACCATGCCAGATAAGTGAAGATAGGTGTGTGAGATAAGATAGTTTGGGGGTTTAGTCAACAGTGGTTATTGTCAGAGCAGAATGAGACCGTTTGCCCAGGGCTGGGCTTCAAATGCTTCAGCTAAGATAAGAGACTCCTTTATACAAAGTCTTATTAAGAACACCCAAATTCTTGGCCAAAAAAAAAAATATATATATATATATGTATATATACATATATATATATGTATATATATATGTATGTATGTATGTATGTTTTCAAATCACTAAAAAAATGAGCCATCAAATATATTATACATACCAATAAAATAATATCTGCCTAAATAATTAAATAATTATGGCCATATATGTATAATAGTATATGCTAGTAATTACGGAAAAATATACACAAACAAGATGAAATGAATTTTAATGAAGTATGGTCCAATGTAGCCAACATTTTATCATTTTAGTATGCAACTATTGTAAAAGTTATTAATGAGTTAGTTTTTAAAACTTAGGTCTTCAAAACCTGCTCTGTATTTTACATGCCCAGCTCCCTTTCCAGGCCTGGGGGCCACATGTGGTTGGCTGCCACTTAGGACAATGTGACTGTAATTCTTGTAAAGTCATTACACAGCCAGACAGCAGCAGTGGGAAGGCTCTCCGACCCCAAGGCTGGGCCTCCATCACTGTGGCACTGTGCCAAAGGGCATCTGGGGCTGGTTTCCACAAGGTTCTGAGTCTGTGCCTTCTCGTCCTCAGATGTCACCATCGGTGCCTTCCTGTCCGACAGTGTAGTCCTCCTCAGGTGAGATGCCGGGCTCTTGCTCCTGGGGCCTCGTTCTTCAGGAGTGACAGATGGATCTTTGTTGGGGAGGCTGCATGCCCAGGGATGCTCCCTGCATTCTCTGTCGTATTCTTCTTTAGCACAGAGTTCCAGAGTGCAGGCCTTGGCTGGGGAGCTGAGAGCTTCCTGGGGCGTTCTGACTGCGTTGGGGTGATCCAAACCCTAACCCAAGGACTGTTTGCCTTTGGCCACGACCATCCCTGTCAGTGGACGTGCTATATAAACGTTCCCGTTTCCTGTAAGCACCAGCCATCCAAAGCCTGGGACACTCTGTCTGGCCTATGATTTTGTCTTTCTAGCCAGTATCTTCAGTTAGCCCTCAACCTCGAGGACCAGGGCTGCCTGTCCACTCGCTGGTAGCAGCAGAGGGGTGGGGCATGTGCTTAGACTGGCCAAACCCTACACAGTACCATCTTTGAGTATTTCTGTCTCTGTGAGTCAGAGGAAGCAGAATTGCACTTTGGAGTGGGAGCCAACAGTTCTGCTAATAACTCAATGGCAGAACGTTCTAAAATAAACCGCTATGGCCGTAAGCTGGAAGGGATCCCAGAGGCCATGTAGTCCTCCGCACACATGCTTTGCATTTGGCCTTGCCTTCTGCAGGCCTCCCCAGAGGGACACAGTCTCCTCCTGAGTGAGGTACCCCACAGGAAAGGGCTTAGGAACTTTGACAGAACCAGCTGGCTGTGGGGTAGCTCTAAACTTTGAATTGTTAAAGTGGCAGCGTGACCTTGAGGTTGGGTGCGACCAGAGGGCAGGTGGCTTGAGTTCAAGCTGGCCTCTGCTCTTTTAGGTGAGCTTCCTTGACCCCTGTGTTCCCGGATTTTCCTCTGTGAAAGACAATGAAGGGAGTATTCCCCAGAAGCTGTGGGCTGATACATGAGAATATGAGTCAGAGCCTGGTGGAAGGGCTAGCAAGTCTTCTGTAGATGTGGTTCAGTCTGACTTCCTAAGGGTCTGATTTCTGGCCTCGTGTCATCTACACAGAAGCCCTGCAGGGCCGAAGATGAGAAAGTATTGTCCAGACACTAGATCAACCCTCCCTGGCTCCTTGGCTTATCCCACATGTGGCTGGGTTTCCGCTCTCTCTCCCTTCTCTCTGGGACGGCAGCTTTCCTCTTGGGAGATCCGGGATGTGGGGGAGCTGTAGTGGCTCTATGAGGGCTTGTCTTCCCCTAGCGGTGACCTGACAGCTCCTTGTAGTTCCCAGGGTCCCTTGTGGCTGAAACCCACTCCCTGGCTTCTCACAGTGGCAGTAAGCTGTCTTGATACCAAAAGCACCTCTTTGTCTTTTAAACGTCATCATTTTTTAATTAAATAAGTTCTTTTTCACACAATATATTCTGATCACAGTTTCCCCTCTCTCACTTCCTTGCATATCCTACCCTTCTCCTCATCCATCCAGCCTCATGCCTCTTTCTCTCCCTCTCTTTAGAAAACAGGAAAATTAGAAAATATATATATATATCTAGTATTAAAAAGAAAGGAAAAACCACAAGAAACACACAAACTTATAAAAAAAAAAAACACCCACAAAATTGGAAACCATAATAGATAAGCAAAAGATTTTTTTTAATGCTCTAACAAATATTATGAGACAAAAATTAAAAAAAAATCTCAGAAAACACCATTGAGTTGATTTTGTGTTGGTCATCTGCTGCTGGGCATGAGGCCTGGCCTTAAGCGTGGTTCATAGACTTACGGAGACGCCACTGGAGAAAACGAATTCTGCCTTTGGAAGGAGTTGTCAGTGGAGCTAGCTTCTGGATTAGGGATGGGAGATCCTGCTCACTTCCCCTTTCAGTGCTGGGACCTCATCTTTCTTCCCCTACGAGCCCTGAGCTCCAAGGAGTCTCTCTTCATCTCTCCCCTCATGGGTGTAAGTGTTAAGTAAGGAGACCCCAGACCCCAGCATGGAGTGGAATACCAGGAGAATGCACATGGCTGGGTTAGGGAGGAGCCCTCCACCTGGACAAAGGGGCTGTGAGAAGACACTGGAGGAGCAGTGAGCCCACGTGAGCTTCAAAGGAGCATCGGGCCACCACAGGAGCCCCCATTCTCTCAGCTTATACGCACCGCCCTGTGGACATGAAACTCTGTATGCATTAGATGCTAGGGATGGACGGAGGACGTGGCAGACGTGGCCCTGAGTCTTTGCTTCTACCCAGTGAGCCACACAAGTTGATGATGACATAGCTAATGCTTGATGAACACCCCCATGCACCAGACATGAACATGTTATGTGCAGTCCTGTGCTCAGCCACAGGCGTGCACGAAGAGGGGTGTTTCAGTAGGTGACTTCATCATGGCTGAGTTTAACAGCACTGACACAAGCTAGGGCAGCTATGACATCACTGTGTGGTGCACCTACGGGACTGCCATCGTACCCGTGGCCTGTCTTCCCCACTCTGCAGGGCATGGCTGTAGTCATTGTGTGTTTTCTTTCTTTCTTGGGTTACAGTTTGTACACAGTAAAAATACCAGTTCGAGCACACAGATCAGTGAGTGTTGACTGGTGAACATACCCATGCCAACTACATCACCCAGACAAAGCACATTCCTGCTGCCCTGAAAGCTTTCTCATGCTGTTAAAAATTATTATTATTTTATTATTATTGTGTTGGGGAGGTGCCATGAGGACAGCATTGTGGGATGGCTTCTGTCCTGAACCCTTATGTGGGCTCCAGGGATCAAACTCCAGTCTCCAGGCTTGGACAAGGACTTTCTCCACCAGCCCTCTCCCCAGCCCTCCCTGTGTTCTAATTGCATCTTTCTCTCCATGGGCATCTGCTCTTGTAGTATCTGTCACCACAGGTCACTCGTGCCTATCCCAGAATTCCATACAAGTGGAATTTCACCACCTGTGTTCTAACTTCTGAGTTTTCTCACTCAAGTCAGTGTCTCTGATGACCCACCCATGTCTTGCACTCAGTGTGGGTTGGTTTCTAATGCTCTGAACCACTCTGCGATGTGTGTGTTGCTATTAACCTGCTTTATGAATGAAAAGCTAGGAGCTTTGTGGGGGTGAACTTGGTTGTCAGCTTGACACATCTGGGAAGAGAGAGCCTCAGTGGGAGAATTGCTTCCATCAGATCGGCCTGTGGGCATACCTGTGGCGCAGTTCTTTTTGATTGCTAATTGGCAAAGGAGGGCGCAGCCCACTGCGGGTGTCGTCATCCCTAGGCAGGTGGGCCTGATCTGTATGAGAAAGCTGGCTGACAGCAGTGACCTCCCATGGTTTCGCTTCAAGCTTTTGCTTTAGCTTTCCTTGATAATGGACCAGAACTTGTGAGCTGAAATGCCACCCACCTCCTCACGTTGTTTTTAGTCATGCTGTTTATCACAGCCACAGGAAAGCAAAGCTTTTTAAAAAAATTCCAGATAGTGATAAGTGACGGAAGGGCTACATGGTCAGGGACAGCGGTGGTGTCACATTTAGCAGAGAGGACCAGGTTGGCATGTCCTGGAGGAGGTGATGCCAAAGGCCAGTGGTTACATTGGCTGATGCAGCTTTTGGGAATGGTGGCAGGAGCCCTATGCCCGTGGTTAGGGGAACGAAGGAGACAGGGGCTGCCTTTCCTGAAGCTGGGGTGCTTCGGGATGGCTCAGAGACAGTGTTTCAGGGAAGTCAGGTTTCGAGTTTCTCCTGATTTGGGGTGAGATGAGCAAAAAGGAATGGGCATGCCTGCAGACAGGGCTGTGTTCATTGTAGCTGAAGGCACTGTCAGACACACCTTGGGGTTTCGGGAAGCTTTGGGCTGAGGCTGAGAGAGAACCCGACTGAGCTTGTTCAACTGTGTGCACACAGATGAGCTTCTTGGACAGAGGAAGACCAGGGCTGGTTTTGTCACCTGTCCCTTCCTGCCAGGAGAAGTAGAGCACTGCCATGTGAAAACTGTATCCTGGCCACTTTTCTCATTTACCTGGAAGAGCAACGTAAAGATCTCTCTGCCATTGAAAAGCACTCCAATTACCTACTTCTCTGAAGTCTTAAGAGCACTTCTGACCCTGTCCTTGGGTGCCTCCTTGCTGCTTTACCTCAGAGGTTGCTGGGTGACAGGTGGGCTCCACCCTAGGAGTGTGAGCTGGCTCCAGCTCTGCCCTCAGGAAGTTTGCTCAGGAGGGCAGGTCTTGTATTCCCATGATAGGAGCCTGGTGCAGTGCCACAAAGGAGCAAAGGAAGTGAGCAGAGAAGCTTATGAAAGATTGCTTTCCTCATCCAAAAACAATGCTTCAAGTGGGAGAGGGAACTGATGTAGCAGATATGGGAAGGAGATGGACCCAGGAGGGCCTTTCAAACCATACTGCTGTGCCTGTGCAAACCTTGTGCAGCAGTCTGGGCTGCTCCTCCTGTCTCCTGCTTACCTCCCCATGCTCAGCTGAGCTTTCTGGGAAGGGACCATGCCTTCTTTCTGACAGACTGATAAAGGGATGGACGAGCCTTTCATCTTTTTTTTCCATAGCCAGGCAGGTCAGGGATTGTCAGGGTGTCATTGTAGAAAGGAGCCTAGCTCTCTCTCTCTCTCTCTCTCTCTCTCTCTCTCTCTCTCTGAAGCTTTGGATACTTTGTCTCTGTTTGTGTGTCCTGTGCTGTGTCTCTCCTCCCTCACAAAGATTGGCTTCAGACTCAGATTTTCTTTAGTAAGGTAGCAAGAAGAGTTACCTCACAGAGCTAAGACCACACACACACACACACACACACACACACACACACAGAGAGAGAGAGAGAGAAATATACATACATACACACAGAGATAGACAGATACACACAGAGAGAAACAAAGAAGTATACATACATATGTAGAGACAGACAGACAGACATTCACACAGAGAGAGAGACTACTACGGAGGCTTTCCAGGGAGAGACCAGTTATGAGGGGACCAGTGGGCTTTTATCCAGTAACGTTTTTATTGCTGTGACCAATTGCCTGGAAACAAACAAAAACAAACAAAAAACCTTAGCAAGCTAAGGCAGGAGACGTTTACTTGGACTTATAGTTTAAGGGTATAGTCCACTGGGAACTCATGAGGCTGCTGGTCACGTGGCATCCATAGTCAGGAGGCAGAGAGAGACAAGGGCTGGTGCTCAGCTCACTTTATCTTCTCTGTTCAGTCAGAGACCCCAAGCCCTTGGGATGGTGCTTTTCCCATCTGGGTCTTCCTGCCTCTCTTAACCTACTCTAGAAACTCTGTCACACACTTCCACGATGATTCCAGATCCCCTTAAGTTGACAAAGCTCAGCACGGCCTCATTTTTGCACCGGCTAGGGCGAAATGGTCTACTTTCTAAGTAAGCCTAGCGCCCTGAACCGGAAGAAAGCCGTGAGACCACGATGGCGGTTTCGTCCAGGCTTCAAGTTGTTGCCTGACTTCATTTTGCCCCACAGCCAGCTTTGCCCAAAGCCTCTTCACTGCCTTGTCACAGCTGCCCTTCTGTGGACCCTCCCTTCTCTGCAGCGGCAGCAGGCAGGGGCCCCTCGCGCCATCTGTGCTGGGTGTCTTCTCAGTGCTTCATGCAGCCAGGTTTTCCTTTCACGTTCTCTGTCCTGGAGTTGGCTGGCCATCCATTCCATCTGCCCTGTCACCCCAGTGCACGTTAAATGAGCCTTACACACACACACAGAGAGAGAGAGAGAGAGAGAGAGAGAGAGAGAGAGAGAGAGAGAAGAGGCTTATGCCCTTTAATCTCATGTCACCCCGGAAGGTCAGGGCTCCGGGAGGGAAGAGGTTCTCTTTGTGGGGCCTAGAGGGGAGAGGGTCAAGCCACAGCTTCGGTGACACCCTCCTGAGCAGACATTTACTGCGGGAAAGAGATGCTAGCTTCTGCCTCTGCTTTTGTCTTGGTGCCCCAGGGGAGTCCAGGGATGCCGTCCACCCAGCAGGCGCCGGGGCGGGTGCTCATGTCAGGGGGAGGGCTGTGTTTATTGGATTTCATTTTGTCCTAAGGCCAGACAGGTTGATTCCTTAAAGTGTTTTGCTGATACCAGCTGGGACTTCATTAATCAGCTCTTTTTAGAACATACTCAATGGATTGATAGACATAAATGAAAGAGGATATTTGACCAGCTGGATGAGATAGAGCTTTGCCAAGTTCTAACTCACACTGACATGGAGAGGACCCGCTCAGTGTGTATCTGGTGTTCCCAGTCTCACTGTCCCTCTCTCCCCTCCTTTTCATTTCTTTAATGCGAGTGCTCGCTCTGTGACCCAGGCTGGCCTAGAACTCTGGGAAACCCTTTGACTCCAGGTCCTGGGCCTCGGATTCCAGGAGTGAGCTGTCACGCCGGCCTTGTGTCTAGCTCCCAGGCCCTGACTGACTTTGTAGCAACGTCTTGTCAGAGCACCACTGCCTCCCCAATGAGACAAAAAGCGGAACTTCTTGGGTGAAATTTTAAATAATCACCCAGCATCTGGTGCTTGATTTATGGCTTCAGCCAGCTGTGTCTCGTTAACAACTAACTTGCCTTTGTTACCGGGAAGCAAACCATTAGTATTTTAGGGAATGCGCTACTTTTAAAACCAGAAAAAAAAGCACTTACAGAGCACATTGGCCTTTCTCTCTTGGGGCATTTCATGCTTTAATTAAACACTGGCTGAAGGCCCAGGCTCTATCCTGCCTGTGGACTTCATGTTTGGTTCTGTGAGCTGCTACTTAACATGGGTTCCCCTCCCCCTCCTCGTCCTGCAGGGCCAGACCGGTCATCACGGTGGATGTCTCCATCTTCCTCCCAGGCTCCATCAATATCACAGCGCCTCAGTGTCATGACGGACAGCAGCCTGTCAACTGCCTGAATGTCACTGTGTGCTTCCGGTTCCACGGCAAGCATGTGCCGAAAGAAATTGGTAAGAACTCACAGAGCCAGGGCTCGGGGTCCCTGTCTTAGTTGGTGCCAAGTTACAATACGCTGGATGCTCCAAGCTCCTTCTCACTTTATGTCCCAGGGGGCTTTGCAGGCAGGCTGCCAGTGGGCCGGACAGTCTTCTTCTCTGAGGCTCCTCTTTTCGCTTTCCTGCTCATTTACATATTTCAAATTTCACATACCCTCCAGCTCTAGGACATCCTTTCCCCCAAATGCACGAGGACCAGTCTGGAACTTACTGGGTGGGGCAGAGTGTGGGCTGGTGAGATGGAGTGCCTGAGCCTTGCCCATGAGGAACACTCTGTGCAGTTAACATAAACAATGAGAATCTAGAGCCCTCCTCCCCCAGCCTGGCGCACCGATAATCCACACAACACTCAGCTTGCAGCAGGTTCCTGGGGAAGTGAGGGAAGTTGTGTTCTATGCTGGGGTGGGACTTTGGTTTGGCTGCTCTGGGACCATCCGTACTCCTGCCAGAACCCTTCATCCATGCTCTGTACATTAGCCCAGTGGAACCATTGCTTCCCCAAGTTGGATGTTAGTTAGGGGATCACAGTTTCTTTTGGACTTTGCTTGGTCTTTGGAGGGGATAAGCATTTGTTTACGATTCTTTAGGGAAAGGGTTCCTGAACTATCATTCTGGTTTTTTCCCTGTCATTTTCATAAAAATAAAGCACATTTCAATCAGAAATACAGCCACCTGCCAGAGAACAAGGTGGCTTTGGAGTGGGGAGTTTGGGAGAGAAAAATGGATGACTGCTCTGGAAATGTGAGTCATCAGTGAGGGAGAGGGAAAGGTAGCCTCCTGGAGCTGTGTAGGCCTAGGCCAGTGGTGGGTAGCCCTCCAGGTCATCAGGAAGGAAACTCTTGGTTCCACAGGGATAGGAAGAGCAGCTCTCCAGGCTTCAGGTGGAGGAAGGGGGAGGTATCTTAAGGGCACAGGATCCTCTACCCAGGGTAATCACCTGGGTCTCTGCATTCAGAGTGCCGCATCTGGGCAGCCCCACCTGGGCACCTGAATTACAACCAGGGGTGGTATTTTCTGTGGCCTCAGTCTGGTTACAAGACATGGGTCTTCAATCACTTGACCTGTTTGGAGGATGGCTTTGGCAGCCAGAGCAGCTATGGCAGTCTTGTCCCTCGGGTTGCTGCTTCTTGCCCTTGGAACCTCGAAGCCCTGGGCATGAACACCAGCCATCTCTTCAGTCCTGCTTCACCAGTGGGAAGTCTTGGCTCTCATGTGGACACAGGGGCATGACGGTCAGCCAGGAGAGGGGCAGCTGTGACTTCTGGGGATACTGTGGGAAATGGGTTTTCCGTAAGGGGTGAACCTGCCTCAGCCCCTTCCGTAGACAGGACCCAGTGAGGAGACAGGTTACCACACTGTATTTTAGCAGGACTTGCCTCTTGGATGTGACCGAGCAGGCACGGGAGCATGTAGTAGTATTTGCAGAAGACAGCTGCCATGGCTGGGATTGTGCCAGTAGCTGGCCGACCCCTCAGATCAGCTACATTGGCATCACCTGGCATCTTGTCAGCCACACACAACGGAATGAGAACTCTGAAGGTGGAACTCAGCAACCTGTGTTTTACCAAGCTTGCAGGTGGCCAGTCACGGTTACACTCCATTAACTCCTTCCTGGGGGTGACCAGAACCTGCGAGTGTGAAGAAGGGAGCTTATGCAGCCGGGACCCGAGTCTTTCAACAGAGAGCACCTGGTGTTGCTACCCGCCCCTCTGAGGTAGTACAGTGAGGGTGTTGGGTCACAGAGGAGGAGCTGTGGAGTAGAGTTATGGTTGTTGGGGCCAGCTGCCATGAAAACCCAGTGCTGGTTAAGCAGATAAAATAAGCAGGGAGGAACAAGGCCTTCTTTTCCTCCTGGCCTTGCAGGCTCCCTCTCTCTCGCCTCTCCCTATTGGCAGAACCTCACAGGGGGCTGCTGGTAAAGCAAGTTTGTGGGATCCCAGCCCAGTGCTATGGCAGAGTGGAGAAGGGTGTGCTTGGAACTGAGAACCAAGGGCTTCATAACCAGCAGAGAAGCGTGCGGGTTCCTAGGGGATCTGAACTATTAAGGCCACGTTCCTACTCCAGAGAGCGCTGGCTCTCAGAGGGCCTTCTCCGTGCTCACTCTGGACTTTGGAAGCACGGAGGTGGGGAAATGAGCCTCATCTGTGTTATTTTGGGCTCTTCGATCAGCAGAGGGGGTTGAAGGTCTGCCAGACTCTGTGCTCAGCCCTGGGCACAAAGCACAGACCCACATTCTAGCGGGAGGGGGTCTCCTCACTTCTAGACACGTGCCTGGGGCATGCAGGCTGGCGTCCCACTCTGGCAGCGGGCAGCCCCACCAACAGGTTTATCACATGTTTTACTAAGCGATTTCAAACAAGAGTTCAGCTCATTCCAAACAGTGTTCTCAGAGACTTCATTCTTGGCTTGGGGGCTGCCTGTGGCTTCTCTGAGCCTTCTAACAGCCACAAAGGAGGACGGAGGGCTATAGCCAAGAGCACTGTGCCCTTTACCCATGGGCTGCGTCTCTAGGGAGACCAGAGGCTTGTCTTGGTGGCCCTAGGCTTGCCTGTCTATAGAATTGCAGTTTGGGGCTTTTGCCATAGTGTCAGATGAAAACCAGGAAGGGCTGAGCCCCAAGGAGAAGCCGCTCCTACCGTGCTTGTTCATTCAGGAATTGAACCCAGGGTCTCAGGCATGCTATGAAAACTCCAACCTGTGTTTCACTCTGAATCTCTGCCGTACATCCCAGGCCCTTAGGAGTAGGCCCAGGTCATCCACAGGAATCCAGCTGGAAGCAGATACCTTCTGCCTGTAAACTTTTTCTTCTGAAGCTAGAGGTGGTACATCCACTCAGAACAGCTTTTGGGCAAAGAGAACATTCTCAAAGCTTCTGGTCCTCAGAAGTGTAGGGATGGGATGTCATGGAAGGAATGGGGTTACCTAAGAAAGTAATTACTGCCAAGTAAATATCAGATTCCTTGGAATGAAAGGGAGAGAATTAAGAAAAGCCAGTAAAGTGGTAATGCCCCTTTCCTGGTCTCCTGGGTTGGGCTAAGGGAAGCTGAGTAACGCTGGAAGAAGACTTAAGTAGACTTTCACAGCAGAAAGCTTGTTCTGATGGAGACTTGGGAACGATTTAGTGTTGGCTGCGACAAACCAGAGCCCCAGTTGATGTGAGACAGCTGGCGCTCGCCCCGGCCCCAGCCCATGTGGGGGGCCCTTGGGAACCAGCTTGGGGGCCAGGGAGGGGTGGCAGGCTGAAGCATGACTGGAGACGCTCAGCCTTTCCAGCCACATGACATCATTCCGCATGGCATAGACACAAACTGCCAGAAGGAAGAGCTTGATGTGTCATGTGCTGTGGGACCCAGCGCTAATCCGAACCAGCATCCTCCTGGGCAGGCGCTCTGAAAGCTGGCTTGCATTAGGGGGTTGCTGCTGAGGCAAGCTCCCCCCTCCCCAAACAAGCTGATTGGCTACATCCCAGCATGCTTAGGGCACTTGAGCCTGAGCTATTTAAAGCTACCGCTGGAGCTCAGGGCTTCAGACTGGACTATTTCTTCTTACCTCAGGCAGCTCACAGGCTCCTTGCACAGGCGGAGTTTCTTCACGGTGAATCTTGCTTGCTTCCGGAAGTGAGAGTCTGATATAGAACGAACTCCTCTGTATTTATAATGTCAACATAAATTTAATATCAAGCCTGAAGGAGGCAGCTCTAGAGGGGAACTGCTTGCTAAGTGATTTTGTGTGGTGACTGGATAACTAGATCTTTCTGGGATCGGGCACTGGAGCATTTGAGAACAATCTTCTAGGTTAATGGGTCGGCATCCATATGGCCCACTGGGACAGAGCAGTTGTCTCTGTTATTTTAACTATGGCCCCTCCCCCTCTCGTGAGTCTCCAGGATCTTCACTGGTGACTGCATTGGCACTTTGAGCAGAAAGTGGGTGCTTGCAAAGTACCAGCCCAGCTCTGGACATACATAGGAGGAAACTATCCCCCTTTCCTAACTTGCCCTGTGTTAATTTAGTATGTCAGATCCCCAAGACGATGATCTCAGGGCACACCTTGGCGTAGGGATGAGCCTGGCAGTACCAGCCTGTACATGGGGCAGAATACTAACACAAGCAGGATTCTCCAAAGAAATAAGGATGCTACTAGAAACAGGAGGATAGAGGTGATGCAGGAATGGGGGAGGGTTTAGCTCTCAAGGGTTCATGGGACTGAATTCTGAGCTGAAGCTGCAGATTAGGTCTGCAAGTAGGCTAGGTGCAGAGCCCCTTCCTACTGGGAGACAGACAGAGCTTAGTGTTTTTCTTTCAAGGCCTTCATCTCCTGCAGCCCACCCACACAATGGAGTTTGATTTCCTTCATCCGAAGTCTAACAATTTAACTGTTAGTCTCATTTTAAAAGACCCTTCCAGAGATGTGCCATTTAGTGCTTGACTGAACACTGTGGTCCAATCAAGGTGGCCCACGGATTAGTCATTCTAGCAGACCAGGTAGGGGATGTGTGACTGAACATATTACCACATGGTCCATCAAACTCGGTCCTGCTGCAGAAGCTGGGGTAGGACGTGCCTCAGTGAGAGGTGGGTGCAAGGAACCCAGTGTCCCGCCTGCCGGGTGCTGCTTGGAGAGCCGACTTCTGCCATAAACTAGAGAAGGCCCCTAGGGAGGCAGAGAGGTGGGAAAGGCCACACGGATGCACGTTGGAGTCCCCACCTTTCACTCTGCACCCACTCCCATTCTCCCCACACTCTCCTGGCTGGATCACTGAGGTCTCTCTTCCCTCCATTTTGCTTTTCCTGAGGGACATGGACAGGCCTCATTTGTCAGCCAGGAGGATGGCTGGATAGGGGCTGCTAAGACTATGCCTCTCTAGCCACGGCTCCTCGCCTGTTCTCCAGCAGTGGGCATCGTCAGACAGAATCTTGCAAAATAGGATTTTGAAACTCACTTCATTTAAACATAACCACCCATACTGTTGGGTTGTTATTGTCTGGAGTCAAAGCAGATTGGCTTAGAGTTTGTCTCTGGACCTCTGTGTGCTTGGTTCTGCCATTTCTGCAGTCAAAGAGAAAGCGCTTTCAGGCCACATGAGGCTGAAAAATGTCTGCCACAGGTCAGTGTGATAGGAACAGCCCAGATCAGATGTGGAGAAGTCTGGATTCTGTCGAATGGTAGACAGCTCTTGGACTGAAGCAAGCATTTTCCCTTTTGAAGCCGCAGGTGCCTTTGTCCCCAGAATGAAGGTTTTTCATGAGCTGATCTATAGGATTTCTTCCAGGCCTTGGCAGTCTGTGCACACCCTTCTGTCACACTCGCTTTTACCCCGTGCTTTCTCTACTAAAGCACTTTCCTGGGATTTTTTCCTTAATAGTAGAGCTATCTCCTGGGATGATCCATGTTTTGGGTCACACCTGGTAACCAAGCTTTGCCTTGGAAATCAGCTGCTTACTGGAATATACAAGTTAGGGCCTCATGCACAGCCTTCCTGGACTAGGAATCTGCCATCTGGGCATAATGGGGACAGAGATATGGCAGGGGCCCAAGGAAGCCATTAGATGCAGCAAAAAATATGCCACAAGGCAACCACAGACAGCTGTCAGGTCCCCGTAGACCTCCTTGGTCGAGGGCCCCTTTGATGCTGTCTGACACAACTGTCCCTGTGAGTTGACCTCACCACACTTAGCCACTGGAAGGCACTGGCTTCCATGGCTGAGCTGACATCGGTGTGTGGAGATGGCCTGGCTGGCTCTGCCCTCCCATGGGCCAGCTATTTCATCTGGTCATTCTAGGAGCAGAGGTTCTTGTTTCTCCACCACGAACACTACATTCCCTGGAGCAAGACAAGTGTCTCAAGGGTCGAACTCTAGAGGACCCAAGTTGGTTTCCAATACCCAAGTTGGGCAGCTCGCAGGTGCCTGGACCTCCAGTTTCAGGGGATCCGATGCCCTTTCCAGCCTCCTTGAGCACTTGCTCTCATATAGCATGTAATCATATACACATAAATAATAAAGTTTTTTAAATAAAAAAAATACAATAACTTCAGAACCCACAAAAGAGTTAAGACATAAAACGGCTTACAGAGAGCCTGGCCCCTGCATAGAGTGCAGCTCAGTATATCTGCTGATGGGAAAGGTCAGTTTACCTGATAAAACACACGGCTGTCTAATTACAGACTCCAGAGTAATGGAGGTCTATTGGGTTTACCCAGCATGCATTTGCATTGGAGCAGCCTTCTTCCCTTTTCACATCCTACACTATGTGAAGAAGGCTGAGTTTTCAGGAGAAAAGCTCCATGTAGGAGCCGCTCTGGCCAAGGCCTTGACGGAAGGACTCGCGCTTTGAGAGTGGAGCCATCCCCAGCCTGCACCTAGTTTCTGAGTATGGGGCTCCATGAAAGCGAACCCTTTTTATTTTTATTTTTGTCAGTGGCGTTGACTGACACTTCATTATATCTACAGTGGTGTGCAGTCCTCTCAGGCCACCCTGGGTGACACAGTTGGAGAAGTCTCAGCATTTACGAGAGACACTGAATCATTGTAAGCAATTGTTCCCAATTTCACATCACTTGGCTGACTAAAAGTCGCTTTCATGTCGTCAGCAGCTCCTAGTTGAAGGTTTGCTGCAGTGCCTGCCTATCAGACCACCACCCTATACATGGTAAAAGCAAGCCCTGACATACATGTGCATTGGTGGTTCTATTGGCACCTCACAGAAGCACAAGGTTTAAACAAGGAAGAGCCCGAGGTCTGACATGCATGGCCTCCCCGGGAAGACAGAGGCCATCCTGGTTCTTCCATAGCCTGGCTATGGGCTTCTGAGAAGGTCTTAGTGTGGGCTGCAGGGCGTTTTCCTGTATCATGTGAACTGTGAGTGGGGTCTCCACAGAACTGGGGGGCTCAGTGCTCTCACCACGGTGTGTCCGTCTTTGTTGACATCTTTGGTCCTTATTTACTGTCAGGTTTGAACTACAATCTGACCGCTGATGTGGCCCAAAAGGAGAAGGGCCAGCTTCCCAGAGTCTACCTTGTGTTGCTGGGAGAGACCGCTGGCCAGGTCTCGGAGAAGGTGCAGTTGACCCACATGGAGGAGATGTGCCATCCCTACATGGCCCATGTCAAGGTCAGTCCCCTCTTCTTTTTAACCCTCACATTCCCATCTCCACAGTTGGTCATTTGGGACGAGCATGAGCTAGCTTTGTCTCATTATGTAGGCTCTGACTTTCACAGTTCGGGTTCACAACATGTATTTCTTCTTTTAAAGTCAAAAGCTGTCAGACATCCTCTTTAGCATTTATTTAAAAACAAACGCTGTTGTGTTGTGGAAGGGAGCACACCTGCCCTGGCGCGTGTGTGCAGGCCAAAGAACAGGTCTGTGGCAGCCGTTCTATTCGGCGCCCGTGTTCCGAGGACTGGACTCAGGTCATGGGGAGTGAGGGAAGTGCCGCCCACCCCGGTTCCCTGTTACTGGTTGTGCAGGTCTCAGCCTCCGAGAAATGGGTAGAGCATGGCGGGAGACCGGTGACAGTCTCTAGCTGCACCTTATTCTCTTGGGGTGGGGAGAGGTTCATCTCCTCTCCGAGGCTTGGCACTTGTGGAGAGAAGAGCTGCAGTCGCCGTGCTCTGGGTCTCAGATGGCACCTTTGCTGATGCCTTTCTAGTGGTCCGTATGACATACGAACCCGCGGTCGGAGCTAATGCATCTTCGCTGGGTCACATTTATCTTGTTGATTACCTTCTATTGACTCTAGGAGTGAATTTGGGGGATGGGTCTCTTTCCTCCAAGTAAACTTCAGATTATTTTTTCCTCTTGAAATTATTCGCTAAGTCTATTTTGCTGTAATTCAGGGAGCCAGGTTTGAATGGTGTTAGAGTGAACATTGTGCAAAGTGGGAGCCCTGGCCGTGCTCACTGCTGTAGAAATGGCCAGCCACTGAGCCACAGGCAGAGCCAGGTGGACAGGCCCGTGATCCGGCCTGGGCAGCTGGTGCAATGCCTGTGGGGTTGAGTCACACAGACCCTGAGTGTGAGGGTCCACCTCTCTAAACTGCACATGGAATACTCACCTTGAAAGTAGTCCTTAGCGTCAACGTCGCCCAGAGTGGGGTGACACATGCTGGCAATCCCAGCATTTGGGAGGAAGCTGCAAAGAGAGAGAGAGAGAGAGAGAGAGAGAGAGAGAGAGAGAGAGAGGATCATGAGTTCAAATTCTGCCCGGGCTGCCTAAAGAGTTGCAGCCTTTTCTGGGCTTATATGGTCAGACCCTGTCTCAAAGCAAAACAAAAAAAAAAGGATAAATATTGTACAGTAAATATTAAAACTTTGCATGAAGTCTGATAAAGGCTCTCAGGGTTATTATTGTTTGGTCGGGCCATATGTAATTTCCAACATTTTAACATTTTTGACTTACATAAACACCAATTTTGTTTAGTTTAATGTAATATAATTAGCCATGGACTTCTAGCAGATGGATTAAAGTGTCTTCCCACTATTGCCTTGTTTGGGGTCAGCGTCAGATAGTAACAGCTGGGTCTAGGCTGTGTGTGGAGAATTGCCTCCATGTCTGCGGCACGTGGTCTGGCCTGGAGCCCATGAGTTCATTCCCTGAGATGCTCTGCAATGGGGCTGGGCCCTGCCTCCTGCCAGACTCATGTCAGGGCCTGCCCAGGCCAGCTGCCCTTGACTGGGCTGCTGGCCACTTAGAAAGCCACCCATGCTCTTGCTAAGCCTACCGGCCCTTCTTGATCTTAGATTCCTCGGCTTTGTGCGTGTCCATGAGGGTGTGGGCTGCTCAGGAGGGGTGCGTGTGCAAACCTCAAGATGTATCAAATGTCCATGTTTGACACTTGCTAGGGCGTGGGGCCTCTGGCCTTCCCTGTGCTAAGTCTGTTCCACAAATCCTTTCCTTTGAGGCTTTTTGCAACTTCTTGTTTTGGCTGAAAATTTCACAGCAAATGGTTTGTAACAGCTAGAAGCCGTCGCTTCAGACAGAGCCACAGAGAACCTGCTGCAGGCCTTGGCTGGTGTGTTTGGGGAACAGCGATGGTGAGGTGCAGGCTGGGGTAGAGCTGTACCTACAGTGGTCTCTGAGGAAGGCTGCCCAGAGGTTGGTTTGGCCTCTTCTGGGATAAATACCTACCAGATATAACAAAGAGAAACAAAATTTCTCCTTAAATTTGGATTTTAGATAAACTTCTTTTTGTTTTGTATGTGTACAATGTCCCCTTTCTTAGTGGCTTCTCTTTCTGGGGTATCAGTCACTATAGGTCACTGAAGTCCAATGGTATTATATGGAAAAAAACCTAAAAATAATAAATGTTAAATAACTTTTACCACAGGATATTGTGGTTTTATTTTCTTTGGCTACTTCTTTGCCTCATTTATGGACTTTATCATGGGTATATTGAGGAGAAATGTGTGATGTTTGGTATGATTTGCAGTTTCATGCAGCCGCAGAATGTCTTGGGACACATCCCCGTGCACAAGAGGACATGGAATCACCAGAATATTGCATGGCATGCCATGTGGTTACACTAGAGTGACACTTGGTGGGCTCTAGAGTCACCTAGGGCAAGCCTCCAGCACACATGTGAGAGGGCTAGCCTGGGTTAGGCAACCTGAAGTGGGAAGACCCACCCTAAGGTCGGGCAGCGCCATTCTCCAGTCTAAGGCCCCGCACTCCATAAAAAGGAGAAAGTGAGCTGAGCACCAGAGTCCATCTCTGCTTCCTCAATGAAAATGCCCTGTGACCCCTGCCTCAAGCTCCTGCCAGCAGGACTTTGCCCCACCATGGTGGACGGCACCCTTAAATTGTGAGCCAAATAGCTTCCTTTAAGATTGCTTGCCAGGTATTTCGTCATAGCAAGACGCAGTGTAGTTGATAATAGATACTAGATAAATAGATACTAGATACCTACAAAAAATATTAGTTTGTTTTTGAGACAATTTTCCTCCATGGCCCGTGCTGGGTTGAAACTCATACGTCTCCCAGGCTTGCCTCAAGCTCAGGCCCCCTGGTTCAGCCTCCCAAGAGCCAGGACTGCGGGCACGAAACACCACCACACTTACCTGAAAGCTCGCTTTTAGCGTGGCATCCCACTGGCATGTCTAGTGAGGCCCAAATGGGACTTGCAGTGACTGCCACAACCCAGCTTCTCAATCAAAACCTAGCGGATCAGAGCAGAAACTGAGATGGGGGTTAGACTAGTTTGCAGTCGGAGGATGGGGCTGAGGGTGTTTATTTGGGCCATTTCGGGGAGAGAAAAGGCCTTCGATAGCAGATACGTACCTTGTAGTTAGTGCTTGGCTGTTTCCATTAGGCCAGATGAGGCGGCATATAGCAGAGAAAGACACATTTAAGCTTTACTGTGCAGTTACCGACCGGACCCTAACAGAGGACCTGGATGGTGGTGAAACACAGAAGCGAGAGGAACTGTTAAAATGAGCTGTGGTACAGCTGGCCTAGGAGCTCACAGACACAGCCCGTAGTTTAGGGGGTTGTGGGAAAACAGCTGTGGAGGCTGTGGGTCAGGCGGGAGGGGGGGGCACGAGGCAGGCAGCAAGCATCGGGGAGGAGTATGTGACAGAGATTGCTTCCCAGCCTGGGACCATGGACTGGGATCACACGTGAGCCAGGGCTAAAGGACCATGACGTGGTCCCTCCCGTCAGCTCCGCAGACCAGTCATGGAAGATAAATGCAAACATCCAGTCTTATCACACACCATATGGCCGGCAGACAGGCCGGCACTGGGACCACGTGTGTTTTTGTTTAGGCTATCTTTAGGCATTTTTCTTTCTGTCTTTAAGCTTGTTCTTTACTCTTGTTTTCTTTTCCTCTTTCTCCTCTAAGTTTTCGCTCCATATATGGTGATGGTCTCCACAGTGGAGGCCGGCAATACCTGAACCAGCTTTGCGGTACTCTACTCTGCTCTTGAGGACCCCTAGGGAGGTTCCACTTGTGTGGCAAGCTTCATCTTCCTCTTGGAGCAGTGCTGAGGCTGTTCCAGTTGCTTTCTTGACTGTTCCCTAGAGGTCATGCTCCCCACATGTCTTTCCCTGTTCCCCAAACCATCCTAGCTCCTGTCTAAGTGCTCTGGAGATCATTAGACCCCATAGCCACAGGTAAAATCCAAAGCACCTTCTCTTGGCTTCATGGTTCTCAACCACCCAGCCTCAGTTTACCTTTTTAGTTTCATCTTCTCCTTGTACACCACAAATGTGCTGTTGTGTTCCCTTTCTCTGCAGAACTTGTCACCTATGCTTTTCTACCTTGGTCCCTGGGTTCATGGTGGTGTCTCTAACTCTTCAATTATTTTAGATTCAGTTCGTGTGTCTTTAGGGAGCCATGTACCTCCTGCTTGCCTTTGGCATCCTTTCTGTGTTAAGGTTGTACACCCTAAATGTTTGGTTTTGTAATTTCTCTTTAAGCCAGATGACTTTTAGCTCTTTTGTACAATAAGAGGGTTGGACCCTTCTATAAACCAAAAGCAATTATTGTATGCCCAGCGCAGAAAGCAACTGTGAAAACAAAACCCACTGCAGTCAAAACAGTGTCGTTGAATGCTGGCCATTTTCATTGTTTCCCAGTCTCTGTAGAGGCGCCTACCCATTCTGTGTGTTAAAAGGGGAAATTACTAGACCCTGAGAGAATTGAAAGCATTATGGTACACAGTGGTATTCTTGCCCTGATGCCAACAGAAGGATGAGCTAGGAGTTTATCAGGGGTAGCATTTTACGTAGGATGGTCCTTCTTAGAGCCACGCCTAAGTACCACTGACAGCACATGCATTAGCCCACTTGGCAGCCGTGGTCATACTCTGACTAACATGTCTTTTCCCACCTCATCTGCCGAAGGTTTGACTGTTCCTGAGGGCACAGCCTCTCCACAGGCTAGACCTAGTCACAGTCCTACTCCCTAAGGAACCTCCCTCATGTTCCCACTTCTGGAGATGGTTCCTTGACCAACTTCTGCTCTGGGATAGTAGGTCAGAAACAAACACCTAGCACGTGGAACCATGTTGGAATGACCAATCGGGCTAGCTGGAACTTGGGGTCATAGGGAATTTCTGATACAGAATGGAGCTCACATCTCTGAGGAAATGGTAAGTCGTGTTAGGAGAAGC